AAAATAACATACTATTTAAAATATATATCCCTCTTAAGCTAATATGTATTTATTTCCTAAATTTCTTATTCTTTTTAACCATAATTAAAAATATGTTTAATCTTTAAACTTTCCATTTAATACATCTAGTCATCTAGTCCTTTAACTCTTATTCAAAACATTTTTATCCATTATATATTTTTTAAATTCAATCACATTTATATATCTAAAACATTTTCTTTATCTAAGTCATTTCAACTTTTTTATACACTCATATCAAAAAAGAGAACAAAAAAGGGGAAAAAGCATACTATATTTAGAGAATTCATCCCTCTTAGAGTGACATATATATTCCAAAACTTTTCTATTTCTTTAACCATATTCAAACAAATGTTTCTTTTTTAAATATTCTCTCTGGTAAGTCCCATCATCTATTTTCTTAGTTTCCACTTTAGTCTTTTTCTTTTGCCCAGTGTCTTTCTTAATCAATGTATTTTGCTGAATCAAAAGGTTTTTCCGTATGTTCGTAAATGTTGCTGTAGATATAAAAAGTAAATCAAGAGAAGTGTCTTTGTATGGGATTTCTGCCTTTCCATGTTTGTTGAAAATCTTTTTCTTTTTCTTTCTCTCTGCTTCTCTTATCATTTCCTTTCTCTCCAATGTTCCTGACATCTCTACGGTCCATTTTATCCAATATGTTTTCTTGTCCTCGGATTTATTTTGTATTCTTAAGGGATAAGTTGTTTTTTCCAATTCTTGTGAATTTTTTTCCACTAGGATTAAATCATGTTTCTTTGTTTTGTTAAGTTCCATCTTTAAGTCTCTATTCTCAATTCTATATCCATGTATCTGTTTTATCTGCTCCTTCTCTGTTGTTGTTTTGTGAGAATTTTTTTGTTGTAGAGTTAACTTGGAAATATATTGATTTATATTTTCAAAGTTGTTTTGGATTTCTTTGTGGTTTAAAGTCATTGTTGTTTGAATTAGTTGTAGCATACTATATATCTCCTCCTGTGATGTATTTATGTTTTCTTGATATGTTTTTTCTACATGTCTCTGATCCATGATAACCAAGAACTTGAGTTTTCCTCTTCCTTTCTTTTCTCTGTAAATAGCTTTAAAATCCCAATTAGGTAGATATTTGTAATCCGAATAGTTCAAAAAAGATTGATGCAATATGGCCAGTCTTTCTCCTGTCAGGTTAGGAGGCTTTCCCCAAGTCGAACGGAATGGCCGCCATCGTTCCAGAATCACTAGAGCACCCTTCTTTCTTCATTGCCTCTCCAGGGTGACTTAGACCCTTTTAGGGTCCCCTGGCAGGGCGAAATTAGCCACGGGGGTGCGGAGAATCCACAAGCCCGCGACCAGTCGTTACCACACAAAACTGGAAGTCTCATACTTAAGAAACTTGTTACAGATATCAACATTACTTGGTGACTCTTGCATGTGAAAAGAAAAAACTCCTTGTGCTTTTGAAAGTTCTACACATGCCCCTCCTTATTAGCACTGATGATGTTACCTAGATGGGTAATGAAACATCTGAAAAAAACAACCAAGCTCAGAGAGCACCAAGGATCCCCCACCCATTATTTTTGTATGCTGTATGTGTATATATTTACATAAATTTCTATACCTCTCACAGCTTGAGGCGATTTACAGAATAAATATAAACCAAAATAACACATGTTATGAATCAGATCCAGGTATGCCATCTTTTCCCCAAACCCTTCAGAGTAGGGTGGTTTCTATAGCTTTGTGAAATGCAAGCAATGTGTGCACTTCCTAATTTTTCCCACTATAAGAAGCCATTGAGGTAGGTTGGGTTAGCCCCAAAACACTCAATGAACTTCCATAGCTGAGAATGGAGTAGAACTTATGTCACCCATTCCTAAGTTAACAACTATACCACTCAACAATGGCTCTCTGTACATGACAGTGAAGGTCTTAAGAGAAGATGGATCATGGGGTGGAGTCCATTGGAGCATAGGAAAAGACAAACAGTAAAATGACTGCTTCATTTTACTAGTTCATGAATTTTTCCCCTCATAGCTAGCTTGAAAAGGATTATTTGAGCAATGACCTATGTTGATTGTCTGCTCTCTTTCCCCCAGACAATTTGCTGGTGTAAAATGGGCACACAAATCTTACCTCAGATGGCATATGCATAAAAGGCAAGGATGGGCCAGAGCAGTGTGGGTAAATCATATAGATTGTGATTCATTTCCCCAATATATGTACTGAAGCTGAATCATATGCTGATATCCTGATTTTTTTTCATGCAAAGCAATTCATGCTTTTAAAAAATGCATTCCAAATGTGCATATCAGGTGAATGCATGCACACAAAAAATCTTTTGTTAGTAGCAAATGCTTGTAAAATGCAATTATTGGGAGAAATACATCCAAGCAGAGCATGCTATTAAAAGCTGTATGCTGAATCTGTGTACTGGGGAAAACCTGTCACAAATCAGTTGAATGAGAAAGAAAAAAAACAAAATGGCAGATTTGTTCATTTCTTGAGGAAGGTATCTTTATATAGTGAGAGAATTACTGCTGAGCTTTTATATCATTTTTCTTAGCACTGATTTTAGGCTAATATGAGCTTGGAAAATACAGTAAAAAAGGAACGAGATAATAAAGCATCTTAAGGATGTTTTTAAAATTGGAAGTTTTTAAGAAGAAACTGGGCAGCCATTTGTCCAAAATGGTATAGTGTTTCCTGCCTGAGCAGGGGCTTGGACTAGATGACCTCCCTTCCAACATTATTATTATTATTATTACTATTATTATAGCATTAAAGGTTCACATTAAGATGTAACGATCTACAGTATCTATATCAGGCAAAAGTTATCCATTTTTCTCATGTGCTGAAGAAATTATGCAAGACTGTAGTGAAAGTAAAATCATAATTAATTTTACAAGCCTTTGCAAATAGCTCTAGAGCCAAACTGAAAGACTCAAGAGTGCTTTCAGAAACTCATAAAAATTGCATTAAAAAGGGGAGGAGGGACTTTCCTAGGTTTCTCTAGCATGGCACATGAACACTTTTCATGCCTTGTTAACATTCCTTTCACTTTTCATATTCATAAGTCACTTGTAGATATCCAATACTGAATAGACCAGAAACTTAAAATTATCAGATACATTTAGCGCAGTTTGCATTACCATTTGGTAGAACCTTGTGTTGAAGAAAAAGTCTTCATCATGGTTCAGTCCAAGCCGGGAATAAACAACATGACGACTGCTTTAGAAAGAAGTTGTAGTTTATTGAAGAGGAGAGCCAGATAGAAAGATGGCTATGGAAGAAAAGAGGAAAGCACATGTAGGGAGTGGGTTTTTATACCTTCTGGAGCCTTTTGTTTGGAGTTGTTCCTGTGGCATGAACTTTGACCTGAGTCTGAGTGTGCCCTTTGGTATCTGTGGGTTAATTCTATTATGTCCTGTCTTAGAGTTTGGGTGGGTATGTACAGTTTAGATGTTTTTGTCTTCTTAATCTTCTAGTTTAAATCTTCCTGAATGGTTTACATCTGCATTTCTACAGAGCTGGTTTCTCCTTGGGGGAGGGAGACTTGGGGCTATTAAGAAAACTGGGCCTGCTTTTCTGCCTCTTTAAGATCCTTTGAGGAAATATATTTTTCTGCCCTTTTAATATTTCCTTTTCTGGGGGGCTGACTTCCCACACTTGTAAACAATTGTCCAGTAATGGCAATATATTAAATACAGATCACATTGAATTTACTCATCCTTCTCCCCTTACTCAATAACTGCCTTTTAGGCCAATTGTTGTAAGGCCCCAAACCAAGAAAGACACATGTTGAATCTTCCAAGAGGAATTCTTTATTGTTTCACACCTATAGACAGAATCTTGCCAGACAGAAGACCATATATTCTGTGAACTATTAGGGAGGGGCTGTCTTCACTCTCTTTCTCTCACAATAACATCTGAACTGAATAGCCTTTTATTCCTCTAGAATGCACCCCTTCCCTCTGGAGATCTACTTCCTCACTAAATTCCATCACAATTATAATATCCCAGTTTTGGGGAAGGAAAGTGTCAGTGTTTTCTAACCCTTTAGTTTTTTTTTCGTCTGAAATCCATAGAATTGTTCTGTGACATTAGACTTCATTTGCAAGCTGATGCTTTCTCTTCCAACTTCTAATGTACCTTGGGATCTAAACAAATAGGATTTGGCTTGAGCACTATGTGGAAAAATCCAAGATCCACGGAAACAGTGTATTTTTTAATATAACCACACTTATATAATAGCTGCATTATAAAAACAGGGATAATAAAAGCTCTAAGGCTTTTTTATTTATTTATTTTGCAGCCTTCCTAACAAGTCCATCATGACCATGAGTGTAAGATGTTTCTTGGCCAAAATGCACGGGAGTGCAGGACTGGGTTTTAAAGCAGCCTCATGCTGAATCAAAATGCACTCATGTGCATGGTTTCATATAAAAAATATTTGAGAGAAGGATGCCTAGCTAAAACAAGCTTTCCAAACAATGGGATTCAACATGGAAGTTTATAAAACAGGTTTAATCATTTCTGCTGAGATTTAATATGACATGCTAATGTTGAAATATTGTGATCAGCTAAGCACTCTGTAAAATGTTGTTTAAGGCAGCTGTAACTGTTTGTTTTAAAAGATTATGTTCAAAATCAAAAGGAATTCAGTTTCCAGAACATAATGTGAGCTGCTTGTAAAATTTCTTGGGTTTTGGTTTTTGCTGATTTTTCATAGCAAACTATCTGACCATGTCATTTATTTTTTGTAAATACAATTATGGATAGTAACACAAATTAAAGCGGAGGAGGGGAGTAATAAGTAAGCCAAAGAAGATTAGGTTGTAGTGTTGATCCAATAGAAAATGAATATGCTTCTTAGCTTGGATTTTCTGTTTCCTTTGCATCCCAGATCATTCATCTTGGGACGTTCTTGGAAGCAGATTTCAGAGAGAGATTTGGGGTGACAGGTAAAGCCCCTTTTACATAAGCTTTTCCCTGTGGTTACAACAGTATAAGAAGTCTTTGTTTCAGTCTGAATAACTGAATTTTCTTATTAAAATGTCTAGAATTATCCTCCGTCCAAACAGGCAGGATGTTTTAATGATGTTGAAATGTCTAATGTAGCTCACAGCTACCAGTACATACATAGCTTCTGTGTAGATCAGAGTTCAGCAACGTTTAAAACATACCTTTCGGCTGGGGGTACTCCTTATATGTATAATTAATTTATAAAATATTAATATTTTCTAGCAGTTTAGAATATAAACTCTGGAAGGATTTGAGATCATTTTGTAATAGTGTGTGGAGATGATCTCAGGAGGAAAGAGGAAGAGCCTCAGACTAGACAACAGTCAGATGAGCAACAACTGAGTCTGCAGAAGGAAGGTGGGGGTGATGGCAAATGTATCAAAAGGTACCCTCCCTGATTTTCTGGACTGTAAAGACGAGGGTGGGGGAGATAAATGGATTTCCAAACTTGCAAGAATCTATTAACGCAACCTTACAATAAAGTTAGAACTAGAACTCAGAAACAACTTCTGAGTTGTTTCTTGTATGGACTACCTTGCAAAGGCCAACAAATTTATTACTTGCTTTCTTCGCAATAGGAAAACATTTTTTTAAAAAAATAAAAATAAAATCCATACAAACAGGAGAACAGGTCAATAACAATGACCATATACCACAATGCTGATTTAGATGCTGGCTTTTTGGAGAGGCACAGAATGCTTAGAAATATCCCTGCTGTTCCAAGTTGTATTTTTTTTTTTAACTGAGGCTCATATTTTACTGTTTATGATTTGGCAAGCAAAGAACAAAGTAGGAGATATCATAATATCTTGCTCCTTCCAAAAAACAAAAAGGAGAGATTTGTAGCTCAAATTTGAAATCAGGGACCTAGCACTGATGAGTTACCTAGTTTGGGTAATGAAACATCTGCAAGAAAGCAACCACAAAGCATCAAGGACCCCGCATGATTTCCAATAACAGATTCATTCCTGTATGCTTTCTTTGGATGATTGCTTCAAAACCAAGTTGGAACCTGTAATTCAACAAAATAGAAGCATAAGTTCTAACAAAATTGAGAGGTAAGATGATCACAAGCTTAATTCTCAGCATAGTCTTCCCCAACTTGATACCCCCCCCCCACTTCTGTTATGAAAACAGTGTCCAGAACTCTCTTTTTTGATATGGTTATCTAATATCAATATGTAAATATCTGCAATCAGAGATGCCTGGTATGTTTTCCAACAGATTTATTTCATATTATTTTGATATATAATTATTGTATTAGATTCAACATCATCTCATCAATGCAACAGTGATACAACCTGAATTTGCTACACAGCATAAAATTGTACCAGCTACATAATGCATTTGAATATCTGGCCATTATTCTAAAATGTTGAATAGATTTTTAAGACTGAGACTAAGGATAATTTTTTATAGGATAGTTATTTATTGTCATATAGTAATCCATTTTATTAATTTCATTAGGATAGCAAAACAGGTAGTGTGGGAATGCCACAATTGTGAACTGCCACAATTGTCAACTTTTCTGTTCTTCCTAATCAGATTCTTTTCATGGACTGAAACATCTGGCCCAATGTATTGTTGTTATTCAAAATCCAAATCACAGTGAAGCTTTGGCATTTTCCATTTACAATTCCATCAATCACTATTGTATAATTTAGTTGTCTATTTAAAAAAAATGCCTCAGAATTCTTTGGTGTGTCCTCCTGCAAATGTTTTCTAGTGGGGTGTGTCAGCATTAAAACATCTAGTTCAATTCAGAATCTATTCCAAGCTAGGGAAACCTCCTGAAAAACACTAGGAAAAGAAAAGGTATAGTTGTCATCTTGTAATATATATCTTCATGAAAAAAAGATATGTGGGAATATTGCATTATTGATAGACTTGGACTTTCTTGCAGTCTTCAGTTATGAGGACAAATGGTTAAATAAAAGCCTGCCATTAATTCTACAGCTGCAAACCTTCTCAATGAATAATAAAGTGTGACAATCAATGAATGCAAAAATACATGCTTTACTAAGAGAGGAGTGGATTTTGATGTTTTTAGGTAATACAACAAGAGACAAGCACTATCATCTTGATTATATATACTGTGCATAACCCAGAATTTTTCTTACCAGCGATAATATCCATTGTCATCTTGATGAAGCATTTTAAATATCATTATATAACAGAATAAGAGAACATCCTAATTGCCATTGATCTGCTTTGCATTAATTTTTAACCTAAAAAACACAAAGGAATTCAAGTTGTTACAAAATCAAGACATATGACCACAGGGGGAGAAAAAACCTCTCCCTCCCCCCTCTTCTCTTTAGAATTCCAACTGACCATTTATGTGAATTTTACCATTAAATCATACTGTGCGTAGGTCAGAAGGACTTTCCTGAGCTTTTTATTTTTATTTATTTACTCCAAATGTTATTGAAACTCTCTAATTAGAGGACCATTTAATTTCCTTCCTATGTCATTTTCTTCAATTTAAATGCTACTTTTCCCCTTTCTTAAAGCTGCTTTTAACTGTAGGGGGACATGTAGAGACAGAAAATGGCGATTTTAAAATTATTAAAAGCTTTTATCTACTCGCACTTCTTGACTTTCAGAAATTCACTGATAATTTTTCTTTTCTTTTCTGAAGGAGTACATGGACTCAAATAAATACGTAGATTACTTGCTAAGTCACATGGAAGAACAGCGCTGGAACTTGTGGAAGTAGGTAGATTTGGAATATAAATCAATAACATGGTCTTATTCCTATTTAATCAGGAGTAAGAATAGCACAGACGATACTTTCAATGTCAATACAGGATTTCCCCTTATCTTTGCTCTTAATGTCAAATGTAATGTCAGCAAACGAAGTCCTTCCTATATATGTTCATAATTCTGAATATACTTTCATGAATACCTAAGTTTAACTGATATTGCTGTTAGATGTTGCAAAAAAGAAATTTTCTTTTCAGTATAAATTAATGAAACTAAGTTTATCGCTCATTAAAACAATACTATAAAAATAATGTAAACACATTACCAGATAGGTTCCTGTTTTGTACATTATACTGATAAGATTCTTGTTTCTATTTTATATATTAGGATTTTAAAAAAAAATCTGCTGCACTTTAGTAGGAAAAAATCATTGAGATGCAAAATATTATACCAATTTTTTTCCTTTGAAATTCTAGTTTACAAGTGTTCATTAAATTGAAGAAATTTATATTTTTAATTATTTTAGAAGCTTTTAAAACATTCGTGTATAAATTTAACTAAAATGTTAGGGCCACATGACGTGTGCATTAAATTGTTTTCTCTTTGTGTATATATAGTTTTAGCTGAGACTGCAATCTGCAGATGAATTCTTCTCAGGCAGATGTATCTAAGTTTATTTTGTCCCAGGGATTGAAATGTAGACTGGAACACTTAAAATGTAGGTACTGTAATTGTGTGTACTGCTGAATAGATTAATGAATTGAACAATGTGTTGACTTTACTTCCTTTTAGAACTGTAACTATCCAACTTTGTATCTTTGTATCATTGCAGAAATGAAAATCATTCTCAGAGTAGTATTATCCAAAATGAACAGCTTATATCAGGACTCAGAAATCTCACATTTGCTTCTGGCCATATTTTTTTTTAATATTTATCCTTCTAAGGGATACACACACACACACACACATTTCTATGTATAGAAATGCAAACTTAAGAGTGCAACACTAAATGTGTTTCTTTAAAAGTATATTCATTTAGGCTTACAGTTGGCTGTATAATTGTAGAACTGGATCCTTATAGGGCAGTCTTCTGCTGATCTTCTCAGACCTAACCCAATTAAGTACAGTGTTTCTTATTCCCAGCTAAATGTGACAGCTGTAATCTTATATTTTCTATTCTTGTGCGTTTTCTATTCTCTATTCTGTAACTTTTAAGATCAAAGGTAAAATGCTTTCCTATGCTTTCAATGGGGGAAAAGAACACACAACAACGTTATATTTGATTCAGTGTAATGCATTCCCTGTTCTTAAAATTATATGTTAAAACTACGACCCACATAAAGTATTTAGAAAAATTATAAAAACAAGTCTAAAGACTGTAGAATAAGATGAAGTAAATCCAAAGCAGATAATAAGGGAAGATGATTAACAGGCAGAGCACTGCATATGTTAAATGCTAAAAACTGGAACATTAAAAAAAAAAAGCAGCTAAAGAGATCCATAAAATCTTGGATAATTATTTAATCCAGTAAGTAAGTATTCCAAGAAGTGCCTTGGACTATTCTACTCAGCCTCTCTATGCTGTAGATAATCTTGCTACATTCTTCTCAGAGTCTGTTAAGTTGTTAGCCACACTGACTGCACGAAAGACTTTGACAGATACAAATTTCACAGATGGAGCCTCATTTTTGTCTATGACCTCTAGTTTGAGGTTTCTGCTTGCTAGACTTGATCTCAATTTCAGGGCCCCTTAATCCAATACTTCTTAACTATTAGTTCCATTGATTCAGCACCTTGTGACTTGAAAGATTTGTTGCTGATTAAAATACACTATTGTGTACATATTTGTACACAGATATGTTTGTTTGTCTATATATCTTACAAGAAATAAAGGGGGGGACATTTAAGCACTTCTGCAAACAAATGAAGAAAACACACACATTTGTGTTGCGATGAATGATTTAATGAAAGGTAATTAAGAGGTGGATAGGGAGAGATAAATAATACTAGTTAGATAAATATTATTTTTCAATGCGTATCTTTTCAAATTAAAGTAAACTTTATTTTAAATCTGTTTTATCAGAAACAGATAAAAGTTGTATTTGGATAATTTGAGCCCAGTATCTACTCAAGAAAATCTTTGCTTATGCAATTGAAAAAGATGAACTCATCCCTAAGCTATTTAAACAAATAGTTCAATGCCAAAGCCTCTAAGTGTTTGCAAGTAACCTCAAAAAATATGAAGAAGAAGCCCTGGATACTCCTGGGCATATATAAGGTAATTCTCTCTATGCACTATCTGTGGATTATCAAGTGCAATCGCTTTTATTTGCAATGGATGTTGTAATCTTGAAATGTGTTCTATTAGACCCCTACCAAATCAAAATAGGGGATGAATTAAGCCATGCAGTTTCAGAAGAGGTGTGACTCACGGCTAGGTCCTAAGCATAAAAGGGGACACAGGTAGATTTTCATTGTTTCTAGCATTCCCATGAAGCACTCTGCTCACCACCATTTAGGACAGCTGGTCAACCAATATAAACTACTTGAGAGGGTGGGTGGGTGGGGAGGAGCTGTAACAAAGATAATATCTGCTTCTCTAAAGCAGGGCTTTTCAATCAGTGGTATGGGTGCCACCTGTGGTACATTGGCACCTGGCAGGTGGTACGCGACCATCCTAGAAAAGTGGTAGCAGGGGAGGGGAATGAGCTGAACCGGTGGCAGCACCGCACAAGCCTGAGTGAGAGATGGCTGGAGCTGCAGGGCTGTCAGGACTCAGCAGAAATGCCAGGATGAGTGCCGCTTTCCAGCTGATTGGCGCTTCTTCGGGGTGTCAAGTCTCAGTGGAAGCGCCAGGATCAGTGCCAGGCTCCAGCTGGAACTTGGCGCTGATCCTGATGCTTCTGCTGAGCCCTGAAGAAGCACCAATCAGCTGGAAAGCTACACTGATTCTGGTACTTCTGCTGAGCCCAGAAGAAGCACCGATCAGCTGGAATTTTGTCTTGTGATTTATATTCAAATGCTTGGCAACTGATTCATATTTATGATGGTCACAGTGTCCCAGGGTCATGTGAAGTGACCAAAACCTGCGGCAGCCACCCACCAGACAGGGGGAATAAAAACCAAACCCCACCCCTGCTGCTAATCCTCAACAGAAATGCTCACAACAATGAAAACCTCGGACAGGAGGAAGAGCACCGCCGGGTGGGCAGGCAGGTATCTTCCTTGGCTGTGGCTTGGGGGGCACTTTTTTCAGTGCCATTGTAACTTCTAAGAGTCACTAAGCAAGCTATTGTAAGTCGAGGACTACCAGGACTTTATCACTTTTTTTCATTTTTGGGGGGTCATCAAGTTTTTGACACCTTGCTAGGTGACTGGTGGTACTCGGATGTTGCCATATCCTAAAAGTGGTACAATGGGTGAAAAGGTTGAAAAGCCCTGCTCTAAAGAATGCTGAATATCCACATGTGGAATCTAGATTTGCACAATTTTACAATTAGTTCAAAGTATAAGGAAGAAAAATGAGAAGTTACAGTAGAAACTTTTTTTTACTCTTAAAGTCAAGATTATATTGCTTATATAAAGAGAAATATATAAATATAAAGAGAAAACATATTTTCACATAAGTTTGTTGCTTTTATTTCCTAGAGTCCTAGACCATTTTCTATTTCTCTATTTCAACCAACATCCCAAACTTAAATAGCCTTTAATTTCAGTTCCAATAATAGTATAAACAATAGAATTTTGCTGTTAATATTTATGTGCCAGTTAATATTTGCCTATCTCACTTGATTCTTTTTTTTTTTTAATTTATCTCTCCAAATACTGAAGCAAAACCTTGAGATATTGGCAAGTTCCTCTGGCATTCTTCTTTTTTTTTGAAGGCCAGTCTGATAAGTAGAAGACCATGGGAATAACTGATGCTGTCCAAGGGCAACACTAGATTGTCTATAGTCAGACAGATGTCCTAATAAATCAGGATAGACCACTTTCTCAGACTTCATTATGCCCTTGATTTGTGGTTGCCACAAATTAACGTATTGGGTCATTGGATGCTGAACCTGACAATGAACGATAGCCTCCAGTTTACTCTAGCTAGCTAATAAAAGAGACAGACACAAGTTTTGAACGTTTAACTCCTTCAGCATTACTCACAGTCCAGCTGATTTATAGCAACCGAGATGAGAGAGAGAGGAGACTAAAAGTGATGTCATGCTGCTCATACAGAATGCCTATCATAACACACATAGAGCAGTTTGTAAGAACATGTGGACAAGGTGGTGTTTTTTTTCCCCTTTCTCATTTCACATGATACATTTTGCTTTCTTCATGTGACATGGCCATCTGTTTTGGAGCATGAAAATTTATTGCTACTATCTCATTTCCTGGGGGATACTTAGGCTTAGCTCATGTTTCATAACATTTTGCAAAAATAGATCAAGAACTTGCATTCCAGATTTATTTTGCACCTCAGTATTTTGTTACTATAGCAGAAGATAAAACCTCTTAACAATCTGTTGAAATCCAACTTTTTAAGGCTTTCAGCATCTTTTCCTTTGCTTTTTATATACTTTATATTATAATAATATCAACATAACATTAAAATAGAAAGTTTTAAATCTAGATTTAGGTAATTTTGAGATATGATCTACTTCCAGTTTGTCTGCCTGTCTGCCTTTTTCTTATATTTATATTTTATGCTTTGAAAATTTTGATGCTCATTTAGCTGTGTTAGAAATTATTTTCCTCTGTAAGTATGTCAAGCCTAATATTAATTGTATTCAGCTTCTGTATAATAATATTCAATAACAGAAAATTTTACCTCTGATACAAAATTATCTATTAAATTGGAGAAAGCAATTTCTGACTATTTAACAAAATAAATAAAATCATGCAAGAGCTAACATTCCATAGTGGAAATTTTGGTCAAACAAGAAATTTAAAAGCTTATTAATCAATTATTAATTTGCATCTATTTTATTACAAACATGTAGTACATCATCAATTCC